AGGCAGAGCCAACTTTACCCGCCCCCTCCCCCGTCCATTCCGCTAGTCATCGCTGGAGGATCGGAGCGGGGAGGGGGAATCCAGCCCTCCCATGTCACGGCAGAGAGCCGTGACAGGATTGAGAGGTGAGCGAATGACGGTTTGTGTTCGCTCATCTCCCGATCTACTGAGCCGACCTGTGAGTCATTGTCACAGGTCGGCTAGAACTATGAGGTGAGTGAAAAGCACTCACCTCATAGTTCTCCTTTAACCTTTATTCACTACCTAGTGAGTCACAGACCTGCCATTTGTATGGACATTTAAGGTGGCCTGACAATTCTCTGGCTACATATTTGTTCCAAGTTAGTGATTAGGTAATGACAGATAGCATATTCTGTACTGACAGGCTGATCTTAAGGACTTAACAACTACGATTTATTTTTAAAACTGCTGGTGAAATATGGTATCTACATTCTGCAGTATGATAGTTTATTTGGCATATAAGAGAATTTAATTACAGGTGCTCCTCCTTACAACTACACATAAGGGCCCAAAGCAGTGGCTGATAAAAAGTAGACCCCTTTAAAAGTATATAGCAAAAAAAGGAAGGGCTGTTTTTAAATGCTCCAAATGAATTCTAATTTAACCTTCGTCTGCTGTCATGACTAAAAATAGCTACATAAGATAATAGGCACAGTTCTAGTTATTAATATTGATTTCCAAATTTGACCAGTGTGATATTTTGGGGAATTTAGCACAATGGTGAGCGCTAAGTGACAACTCTGGAAGCCATTTTCAGACAAAAAAATAGAACAGTCTTTATTCTTCACAAACAGAAAGTAGCTTGACATCAGCATAATAACACAAACATAACACTCTGCTTATCTTCAGCAAAATGATAGTTCAGTCTCTCCAACTTAAAGTTTGTCTTTCACAGATAAGGTATCCCCAATCCCAGGGTTTCCTTCCCCACAAAGCAACAGCCCACAGTAACACAGTGCAATATAACACTCCAGAATGGTTTCCCACACAGCTGTGTGATTCCAGCTACTTTACACCTCCTGTGTGTCCCTGGCTCTCTCAGCCTTACCATTCTACCAGCCTCCCTGGCTGTCTTCCGTACTTCCAGTACACCCACCACTCAGCTTGCCCTGTGTGCCTCTCACAAACCACTTCCTGCTCCAAGCCAGCCCTCTGTGCTTCCAGCACACACACTCTTGCCACTCTCTCTGAGGAGTTTCCTGGTTTTAACTTGCCCACTTACAGGGCAATTAGTACTTTGTTTCCCCTTGAAAGGGACCATAACCCAGACATGCTCTTTCATGAGCCCTTCCATGGTGATCACATGGCCATTTTACACTGTGGCATTGCCAGGCACTGCCACACTAGGTATGAGGCACTAAGGCAAGTCTTGTTAAAAAACTTTGGACAGTTATCAATCATATTGCTGAAGAAATGTAAAACATCTTACATCCCTTGTCATATATATTTTGTATCTCACCCACTTGTAGGTTTTATTCTAATGTGTTTTTAATCAAAAGCTGATTTGTGAGTCTCTAGAAAAAAAACATTTCCCTAGGCTGTAACGTTGAGCCATCAATGCCTATCTGCTGTAAAACAGATTTATAAACCTAGAGCAAACTTTTACAAATACATGTGCTTTATCTGCCAAGGGGAAAAGCATAATGTTTATGTGCTAAACTTGGAAGTACCTGCCATTATTCTTATTCCTGCTATATAATGTTATGAAGGATCTTTAAACCTCTGACATAGACATTGCACGGGCATCAACTCAAGTCATTATTAATAATAGCCTAGAGTAAATCAGGAGATTATGTTGTATTTCCGTTAATCTTAGATCTCTCAAAGGACACTCAGCCGCCTACGCCTCTGTGTTTTGTCTGATTGTAATCCAATGTATTGAAACTAAAACGGTTTTGTGTTTATTTTATTTTAAGTTTATGAGTTATTAAATGTTTTCTATTGGCCCAGAAAAAAGTAATCATGCTAATGATGTAAAAAGTTGTCTGGAGCTCCACCTACTGGCTAATAATATCCATAATAAATACTTATTGTAGGTATGAATATATATATATATATATATCTATATCTGTAATAAACAGAAAATATGCTAAAAAACATGTTTAATTCCCTTTATATTACAAAACATTTTTAGACACAAAAGCATATATGTATATGTTGTGTCTTGTACTCCTGGATGAAAGGTAGGTTATAGAGTTCTAGCAAGTTCCAGCTTTCATAAAGCAATAAAAGGGAGGGGCATAATCCTTAAAAGAGTACTATGGCCAAACATTTTTTGGCAGTAGTTCCCTTCTGTGTCACAGGAGGACACTTTCTAATGTCCTCCTGGGACCCAAAACTCAGCATATAGCAAGCTCTTGCCCACTATATGCTGACAAAGCAAAGTCGTTAGGATCCACCCCACTACCTAATTGACAGCTGGCTATGTGTCTCTAGAGCTGTAGCCAGCTGTGCCCGCCCCCTCCACTCTGTTTTGGAGGAATGGAGAGGGGGGATCCCTCAGAGAGGGGGATCCCTGCAGGGATCGGTGATGGACAGTCACTGTTCTCTGTAGGGAGAAGATCGTGAACTGAGTAATCAGCAGTTTGTGATTACTCAGTTCTCTATCTATAGAGCCGACTTCTTACAACTGCAGTGTCAAACTTTGCTCTAACTATAGGGATGAATGTATTTCACTTATCCCATAGTTCCCCTTTATACAGTGTTCTATGGTACTAAAATACTAGTTAAGACAATGTATGTATTTATCAACAAGCTTTATGTGTTTGACTATTTAACCTTCCAAGGTTTCTTTGTAGGAGTATTGTTTATGCACATACAATTTAATCTGGAACTAAATTTTTATTGTATTGTTTTTGTTGGCAGTGTTCTGTGCCTTGTGGAGTGGGACAGAAAACACGTGACGTAAAATGCGTCAGTAACATTGGCGATATTGTTGACGATGAAGAATGTAATATGAAGCTACGGCCAAATGACATTGAAAACTGTGACATGGGTCCATGTGCCAAAAGTTGGTTTCTTACAGAATGGAGTGATAGGGTAAGATATGTTAGTTAATTAAATTTATCCTGTGATATTTTTTTCATGCATTATTTGTTAATACAATAAAAATTGCAATGAAGAGAAACAAGCAGGAACAATGAGAGAATGCACAAAGCAACACGCATAGAAAAACAGCAAAGAAAAGTGGGCTGGGTTCATTAAAGGGAGGGGGGGGGGCAGTAAGGAACATATGGGCCAGGGGAAAATGCATTGAACAGTAGTCTATCCCCTGGGTTCTGAAGATTGGGGAGAAACCCTCAAGGGCATCAATCCGGATTGTCGTGCAGCAAGGAAGAGTATTCCGGTGTGAGAGTAAATTTGGTCCAATAAAACCATATCTTACAGTGTTTATCAAGCATACCCCTGATAGATGAGGCCAGATCCTCCATACGCTCTACCTCTATGAAGCCACCTAGACACCATGAGGACTCTGTGGAAGGTGTGGAAGAATATATTTCTTATAAGCTTTCCTGGGGAAGGAGTTCTGGTAAAAGAGAACCAGATCTCCCCAACCTTGAATTTGTGAAGTAAAGACTTCACAGAGGACCAGAAAGGAATCACCTTAGGGCAAGACCAAAAAATATGCAGAAAATCCCCCAGCGATTAATTGCAGTGCCAACAACGATTTGGCAAGGAAGGAAACATGGAATGCAGGACCTGGGGAGATCTATACCATCTGGTTGACAACGTAGAAAAAAGGCTCCTGCAGGATCTTATTCCTCTTCTGTTCAGGGGCTGCTCATCTTAGAGATTTAGGGATTCTCACCAGCACATGCAAAAAAGACAGAGAGTGCCACCTCCATGTGAAGAATCATTTATTATAGAATAAACCGCAAAGTTAAAAATGTACTCCCAAATGTAGAGCAAAGCGCAGTCATGTTCCTTGGCTGCTGCCACAATAGAACCTTAAAGAGGGGAATCCTTTTCAGACACGCTGCTGTCATCAGTCTCTCCTGACTTTCTTCACCTCTGTGTCTCGTGGTTAACGCGTTTCAGGAGCATGCCCCCTTCGTCAAAACCAAGGTTCTGATGAAGGGGGCAAGCCTCTGAAACGTGTCTTTTTTCCATCTGGTTAACAGCTTAAAGCCAGATTCCTGAAAATGTCTGTGTATAGAGGACTTAAAGGTGAAGTGGACAAGTTAGGCTATCTGCTCTTGCGAGAACTGAATATTAAGGTCCTGCTCCCACTTTTGTAAATAATCCGGTACAAAATACGCAGCAGGGGTGGTCAACAAAGTATACATTAAAGAGACCACATGGCATAAAGGAGTGGTTTGGACACATTCCTTTTCAAAGACAGTAAATTGGCGAGAGAAAGCTTCCACAGATGGAAGAGAACCGAGGAAATTAGAAAGTTGAATTCCTCAAAACCCCGGAGCAGATGTCTTGGGATCCAAGAGAAAAAGATTACTGGAGGGCCAAGCACCCTCGGGGATGGCCCTGAAGCACCTGGCCCACAGAAGAGATGAAAAGCAACATCAACCAGGCCTGCAACAAAAGACAGATTGCCCACCACTGGATAGAGGGGGGAAGGAGATGGCGAAATATGAGGTGACTTAAAAAACCTTCTACAGACATTCCAGGTGGCCCCAACCACAGGGTGAGAGAGAGTACTTGGTGGAACATGCTTTTTAAACCATGGGAGACATTTTAGTGGAACAACCAGTCCTGTTTGCTCTATGACTACCCACGGTTTCAAGTCTCCACTACAACACCAGTCCGCGACTGTAGCTAAGTGACACACCGCATAGTACAAGGAAGTGTCAGGTAATCCAATACCGCTGCATAGTTTAGAGAGGCACAGAAGAGAGAATTTTAGATGAGGAGGTTTGTTTGCCCAAAGGAATTGAGAGAACATCCTATTCAATGATTTCAAGAATCAAATGGAATGTCTTATCGGTAAGGCTTGGAAAAGATACAAAATGTGGGGCATAATATTCATTTTAATCATATTGCATCTCCCAAACCAAGAGAAATTACCGGATGTCCAATGGTAGAGATCATGTTTCAGCCGAGAGAGCAGTGGAGGAAAATTGAGGGAGAAAGTCATGCTGAGATCTCTAGGTATCATCGTGCCCAGATATTTGATCGCTGAGTCAGACCACCTAAAAGGGAAGGTGGAATGGAGGCTGTGAATCAACGGAACTGGGATACAGATGTTAACCACCTCCAATTTAGAGTAGTTAATTAGAAAGTTGGAAAGCCTAAAAGACTAAATTCTCTCAACAAGTTAGGTTAAAGAAATAACCAGTTTGGTTAGGGAGACAAGAAGGTCGTCCACAAAGGCAGCCACTTTCTCAGGCGCAGACGTACCAATCGAGAGAACATTAATATCTGGGTGGGACCTAATTTTGCAGAGAAAAGGCTCTAGAGTGAGGATAAAGAGTAAAGGAGATAGTGGAAAGCCCTGTCTGTTCCATTAGTGATCTCCACAGGACGGAAAAGGGCACCATTAATCTTAACCTGTGCGGTGGAAAGGGATTAAATTCCTCTGATCCAGGCCAATATCTGCTCACACCGACCCAAGTACTGCAAGACCAAATCCATGTACTGCCAATTCACTCTATCAAACGCCTTTTCCACATCGGTGGATAGGGGCATCAAAGTTGCAGGCATGGATTCCGACGCATGCAGCACAGTTAGGACTCTAGTCGTGTTATTGCATTCTTCTCTAGTGGCACGAAGCCTGCACCCTGGACCAAAGGCGCAAGTCTAGAGGCAAGTATTTTGGTAAAGAACTTCAAGTCAGTATTAAGTTAGGAGATGGGTCTGTAACTAGGGCAGAAAAGCGGGTCCCTACCTTCCTTAGGAATCACGGCAATGTGGGCCATAAGGGCACCAAGAGGAAAAGAACCCCCAGTCCCAATCTCATTCAACGCACAAAGGAAGTAAGAGGAGAGAATATCCTGGAACCGTTTGAAGTAAACCAAGGTGAAACCATCTGGGCCAGAGCCTTTCCTGTATTTGACTCAGCAATTGCCTGATATTAAGAGGTTTTGTTTGGACAAACCATGTACACTTAGTACACAGAAACACCTAATCAATACACCGGCTGGTGATTGAAAACCCTTTTCCCACACCTGATTGTTGTATTGCACAACTATTACCGAGGTAGTGACTACCGAGATTTATAATTTTTTCACTGTAGAATCTGAACTTAGTAACTTCTTCACGTCCTATAGAGTGCACATATTTTATTTTATTTATTTGTCGAGACCGAGCACAACTCACTTGCGATAAAATAATGGCCTGAATTAACTCATCTAAAGTGATAGGCCGATCCAAAGAGGAGATATCTTCCTATGAAGGGCGAGGCATACCAGAATCAGGCAGATAGGCATTCACTGCAGCAAAAAGGAAGGCTCACGAGATGCTCCAAAGTCAGATATACAAACACGTATAGTAGAGTCGGAAGGCCTCAGTGATTTCATCCATTTTGGAGACCTTAGATTGGTTACGAGTCAATATCTCGACTGTTCCCGTTTAGCTCTTAGTTCCTTGGCCAGAAGTCTTCCACATTTATCTCCATATTCATAGAACGATTGCCTACATTTAGTGAGAGCATACTTGGTCTTAGATAAGTAAAGAGATTTCAAGTGAATCCACAGAGCTGCAAGTTCCCCGATAACAGAGGTCACCAGGGTGCATTGATACGTTGCCTTAAGGGTATGAATGTCGCAAAAGAGTTTATCAATCTGAGCAAGCCTAGCCCGTTTGAGCTGGGAACCATGCTTAATAAAGACCCCCCTAATGTATTCCTTATGTTGCTCCCAGTGGATCATGGGGTCACAATCTGGACCTGATTTGGTATAAAAATAATGTTGAAGCTCTTTGCGGAATCCTGAAATATTGTTTTATGTTTGCATGGATTCTTCTAACTACAAACATTGCTAAACAAAGCATATAACTTTCACATTTTGTACAGCCTGTGTATTTCTCTTTGTCATATTTTCCATATAGCCAATAAAGGGTTTCTATCAAACTCCAAACTTTCTTTTTATGCTGCATGCATAGAGTAACCATTGCTTTCTGATGCTTTACATGAGTTCTTTAGTCAACTTTTTTTCGTTCGTCCATTACTCATTCTTTATCCTGCTAAACAGCATGTGCTTTACTGCTCCCCATAGACAAATGCTGGTGGTCAAAATAATTGCTTCCTTCTTGCGTTCCAGTGCTCAGCAGAGTGTGGTGAAGGAGTGAGAACACGGTCAGTAGTCTGCATGTCCAATCACATCAGCAGTTTGCCGCTGGAAGGATGCGGAAACAACAAACCAGCAGAAACTACGACCTGTGATAACGGGCCATGCGAGGGCAAGGTTGAGTGGTTTACTGGAGCCTGGAGTCAGGTAAATCTTTTTACTGCACATAGCTGATATCCTGTCTGACTGAAAGCAAAGAATGCACTCCTATAGCTTGCTTTGTATTTACTGTCTCAAGTGAAAAGCAAAGCCTAAGTCACTGTGAGAATATTAAATTACACTTCTTAAAACTGCTGTTGCCTGTGCTTTGAAATGTGTATTATTTTACTTAGGATAAAAAAGAGATTGTAAAATAAGCCATATAATGTAAATACTGTAATTAATAAAGACTGCAAAGGAGCCAAATCTATAATCTTTTATAAAGTAAACTAGTTGCAAACCTAGGCATTTGACACTGACTGAATGATAAAAGAAATGCGTTGAGACTCGCTCCCCAGAGCATTTATTTAAAGATGAATTTTCCCAAAAAATATTGGTGCATTTAATGTATTTTAGGCATGTTATGTATCTGTTATGATGCTCCCACGTAGACAACCAAAAGCCTTTGGGCTTCTGCTGGGCACCATCATCTTGGATGTGATGTTAGCAGACCTTCTCTCCTCCCCTGGATAAATGTGCAATATTCTGCAGGGGAAGGCATGCTTATGTGCTCTACAGTCTGAGGGCTTGTTCACACATACTGCAGTGACCTGCTTTGTACCACACCCGATCAATGAACATCACCACAAGGACACATAGAAAACAACTGTTTTCTATGTGTCCCAATAACATCACAAGGTGTAATGGGCAGCACACTGTGATAAAATGCAAACATGTTGCATTTTATCGCAGCACACTGGATGCCATGCAGGTCCTGAATGGAGCGTACACATTGTATACTCCACATAAAGTGGAAAAAAAGGAAAAAAATATAAAGAGTGACAGCTCTGGCAGTGTACATTACAATGCATACTGCCAGAGCTGCCACAATGCATTAGCCCATCTGTGTGTAAAGGCCCTAAGTCTGTAATTAACACTGCAATCTGGCTCATAAAATCCTGCATAACTATGGTGGACCCCCAGCATCACCTTAAAGAGGACCTGTCATCACCAATCTGCTATCACATAGGGGGGCTTGTAATAAGCCCCCCTATGTGATAGGGGGGCTATCACATAGGGGGGCTCAGAATAATGTAAAAACAAAAAGGTTTGTAGTCACTGTAAAATCCTTTTCTTGAAGTTTATTGAGGAACGCAGGACCTAATCCTTTTTCTGTTTATGGTCTTGTTCTCAGCACGGCTTTGCTACAAACTGAAGCATGCTATGAAGTTGGAGAGGGTTATACCAGGCTGGGTATAAAGAAGTGGTACATGCATGAATCCATAACCAGCCTTTATAGCAGGGAGCACAATGGGAACTTGTTTGGTTGCAGGCTGGCTGGCAGGTTGGGGCTGGGGAATTTTTGTGTTTTGTATTGTTGTAAGCCTTCCCATTGTGCTCCCTGCTATAAAGGCTGGTTATGGATTCATGCATGTACCACTTCTTTATACCCAGCCTGGTATAATACAAAACACAACAATTCCCCAGCCCCAACCTGCCAGCCCGCCTGCAACCAAACAAGTTCCCATTGTGCTCCCTGCTATAAAGGCTGGTTATGGATTCATGCATGTACCACTTCTTTATACCCAGCCTGGTATAATACAAAACACAACAATTCCCCAGCCCCAACCTGCCAGCCCGCCTGCAACCAAACAAGTTCCCATTGTGCTCCCTGCTATAAAGGCTGGTTATGGATTCATGCATGTACCACTTTTTTCTAGTTTGACTAGTTTTGGTTAGGGGGATGCACTGGGGTCCCAGCGTGCATTTTTGGCTGCTGGGCCCCCAGTGCGTCCCTGCACCTTATTAGGAGGAGTAGGCTACCTCCAGGTACACCTGCATGCAATCTATCGACTTCATTAATATGCTCACACTTGGAGACTCAGATACATAGAGTTAGGACCACACTTTGCAGAGGTGCCTTGGCGCGGCAGTGTGGCTTCTACATATTTTTGGCCAAAAGTTTGTGCAACTAAAACCTCTGATTTTAACGCATACTGTTGACAGGGCTACTTGTTTGGTTGCAGGCGGGCTGGCAGGTTGGGGCTGGGGAATTTTTGTGTTTTGTATTATACCAGGCTGGGCACTTTTTTGATTGCTAGTGTCCAAGTGTAGGCCACAGTATAATTCAAATATTTCAGAAACCTGTGTCCTTGAATGAACTTCAAGAAAATGATTTTACAGTGAGCACAAAAATACTGTTTTTAATCATTGGACTGAAAGGTTCAACCTTGGCCTTTTGATAAATACACTCATTCGTGATTAAAAGTTCGAATATCCTATTGTGCTTCCATAGAAAAACATAAATACTTATTTTGTGCTGCATCTACAGTACATGCAGATGCTTTATCTGTTCCGCTGGGTTATATGCTGCATCAGAGGTCAGGCTCATTTGTCTTTTTAAGCAATATTCCATTAACACACTCATGTATTTTCCTAGCAATGTACTTAAGTACAATACCTCCAGTCTAAATAGGAGTATTGTAGAACAGAGCTAACTTCCAATGAATGTAAAGATTCACAAAGTGGCTCTCCCTGTAAAAAAAGTTAATATATTCAGTTGTACAACACAATTTACCATACAAAGATATAAAGCATTAATTAATAGATACCGCTGTCAAAGAGTTTTAAAAGCCCAAGTTCACAAAATAAAGAAATGTGAAAGGTGTTTTGTTAAGTGGAAGAAATGTTTGAGAAAAATATATTACCTTTTGAATTTTCAGCCTGGAAGGTGGGTGACATTGTCTTAGCTGGAAAAAAAACAAAAGCGAAACCTTTGGCTTTAGTTTATTTTGCTTAGGGGCAGTAAGAGTATTTAGGTGACAGATGAAGAATACGCATTTTGGCTAGACCTCAGCTTCCCTAGGGCGACACTAAGAAGATAAATCTAAACCCTTGTTTGTACTTCAAGGTTTCTTTTTATTCTAGTATAAAATATGCTGTTGCTAGAGGTAGAAGTGCATGCAGCAAAGAATCAGATTCATGAAAGGTACACTATGTTTTCTTCTGGTAGGACTGTGGCTTGACCTCACTAAGTAGGGTTCTTGAAGCCAAGATTCCACTAAGTTGGCTACAATGTGGCTACTAATGAAGAGTTTTATTACAATATCCATCTGGCACAAAAACAGAATGCTTGCAAAAATGTTATGCTGATCTATTTTATTGTATCTTTGAGCCAGAACCTTCCATAGCCCACTTTTTAACCACTTGTTATTTTACTTAGTGCAGCAATGGCAATAAAATGTAGTATTGCAATGCTATGTTTTAAAGTGTTACCCTTGCAGTGGGGCTACCCTGGCATTGCAAGGGTTAAGTGCCTATTTTCATCAAGGGATGAAAATAACAAAGATATTCTCGTAGCCAGCTGGCTGCCAGACTGGTCCCTGCTGACTCTTGTCTTCCGCTCCAGCAATGGAATGTTCCTCGGTGTCCTCACGCCCAGTTCAGTGTAGTGGACATGATGACTCCCAGGACCTTAGACCGCTGGGGCAACAAGGCTGCACTTAACCTTTGCAGTGCCCCACTGCAAGGGTTAAGATTATTTCTGCCCAGAGTTCATCTTTAATTATGAGTGTTTTAAGGTGCAGATGGGCTAATAGTGCCTAGTATTTTTCTAAAGTCATGGATATCTATGCACAACAGTGTGCCAAATGATCATAGTTACATAGTTACATAGTATTTGAGGTTGAATAAAGACATTAGTCCATCAAGTCCAACCTATTAGGATCTCATTCTAGGAGTACCTGTACCCCTGTATATTACGGTCCCTTAAGAAATCGTCCAAAAGTTTCTTGAACAATTCCACATTCTTTGCTGAAATCACTGTCTGTGGCAGTGAGTTCCAGACCCTAACTGATCTTACTGTGAAGAACCCCCTTCGCCCCTTGTGCTGGAATTTTTTTTCCACCAATTTTAGGTGGTGGCCTCTAGTTTTTGTAATGGAGTTAATTTTAAACAGTTTATCGCTAATGTTGCTGCCACCATTGAACATTTTGTACATGGAGATCATATCCCCCCTCAATCTCCTCACCTCCAATGTGAACATGTTTAAATTTAGTAGCCTTGTCTCGTAGCTCTGGTCCTCCATACCCCTAATTAGTTTGGTTGCCCTCCGCTGGACTTTTTCCAACTCAAGGACATCTTTTCTTAGTACTGGTGACCAGAACTGGACCGCGTACTCCAGATGAGGTCGAACCAATGATCTATAAAGTGGCAAAATTATAGACTTGTCCCTGCAATACATCCCCTTTTTAATACAGGACAAGACCCTGCTAGCTTTGTTTACAGCAGCCTGGCACTGCAAACTACCTTTCAGTTTGTGGTCTACAATGACCCCCAAATCCTTCTCCATTTCTGACTTCCCTAGCGGCATACCCATAATTGTATAACCCATTTGTTTATTTTTAATTCCAAAGTGCATTACTTTGCATTTATCGACATTAAACCTCATCTGCCACATTAATGCCCACTCCCCTATTTTATCCAGGTCCTCCTGTAATGTTATAATGTCTAAGTCCGTGTCTATTACCCTCCCAATTTTGGTGTCATCCGCAAACACGGAAATATCGCTGTTAACACCCTCCCCGATGTCATTAATAAATAAGTTGAACAATATGGGACCCAGCACAGAACCCTGAGGCACACCGCTCATTACACTAGCCCAGTCTGAAAAGGTGCCATTTACAGATACCCTCTGGACCCGTTCCCGTAGCCAGTTCTCTATCCACGTACACACCACCTCATCTATGCCCATAGCCCTCAGCTTGTGTAGCAAGCGTTTGTGTGGTACCGTATCAAAAGCCTTTGAGAAATCCAGATATACCACATCTACCGGCCTCCCTCCATCCATATCTCTACTCACTACTCTACTCTACTCTCTATCATGCCTCAGTAATCACCTTTTTTTGTATATGGGGGAAATGCATCCTTTTCTCATGAGTATTGGTTCAATCCACAGTTCCGGTTTGCAGATTGTCAATGACTTGAAACCAACAGGTTGGGTGCCTAGA